GGGTCCAGACCCGAAACGTCAGCTTTCCTGCTCCTCTGATGCTGCTTGGCCTGCTGTGTTCATCCAGCTCTACACCTTGTTATCTCAGATTCTCCAGCATCGGCAGTTCCTACTATCTCAGGCAGAATTATTGATTTTGTTTTAGCCTGAAGCTCTTTAACAAGAGGCTCCATTGAGGCATCATTTTGGTGCTTTCCCCACCTTGGAGCCATGCAGGCCTTGCTTAGCATTTGTTGTGGCTCAGTGGTTAGCACTGCTGCTTCACAGCACCGGGGACCAAGGTTCAATACCACCCTTGGGTGACTGTCTGTGTGGAGTTTATACATTCTCCCCGTGTCTGTGTGGGTTTCCTCTGGGTGCTCTGGTTTCTTCCCACAGTCCCGAGGATGTGCAGGCTGGGTACGTTAGCTGTGGGAAATGCAGGGTTAAATGCTCTTCAGAGGGTCAGTGTGGAGTCAATGGGCTGAATGGCCTGAATTTCTACACTGTTGGGATTCTATGATAAAGTTCAATTTTATAATCAGTACCTGGTTTAGACCGTTACTCAATATGGACAAATCTCAGAAATTGCTGGGAAAACTCAACAGGTCTGGGCAGCATCTGTGCAGAGAAAGCAGAGTTAATGTGTCAGGTCCAGCTTCAGAACTGTTCTGAAGAAGGGTGACTGGACCCGAAACATTATTAACTCTGCGTTCTGTCCACAGATGCTGCTGAGCTTTCCCAGCAATTTCTGTTTTGGTTTCTGATTTCCAGCATCCTCAGTTCTTTGATTGTTTTGGACAAATGTCTACTGGATAATACTGTAATCTCTTTAAGTTTTAAAAAAAATCTGAATAATCCAAAGACCCAGATAGGGAATTATCCAGCTGCACTTACAAAGGAGACATGGGCTCGTGCTTTCAAACAACAGGATTGAGTAACCGCTGTGAAATCATCTTGAGTAGAGTTTCAGAACTTACCTTGTTCAGTTTCTCAATCATCTCCTCGATGCTGATGTCTCCGTTCTGTGACACTTTGCTTTCCATCAAGGTCAGCCACTCACACAGCTCCTTGTTCTTCTCGTTGAATAGCACCCACTCATTCAACTTCTCTGTGACCAGCTGTCTGCGTAATGTTACCTGGGAATGCATAACAGCCAGAGGATCACATCTGAGCACGTTACAAAAAAAAAAAGTGCATGAAATATTAATCGACTGATATAACATTCTGCTCACGGGACACAATTCAACATGGAACTTGCTGTACCATGCTTCCGAACCTAGAAACAGAAACTACCCACACCGCTGAATCAAAACTTCAACTCCTATGCTGCGGCATTTTGTTTGACCTCCTGCCAAGTTTCTTCCAGGAACACATTTCGAAACCTGATTCACTGCTCCACACAAGTCTTACTTGGATAATTGGACTCCTTAATACGAGTGTCACATTTATGGCTCTGCATTTTAAGACGTACAAATAATGTCTCTTCCAGCAGACATTGAGGAAATTTTCAGAGATCATGGCAATGTTCTGATGATGAAGTGGAATTACAATGACAGGTCAATTTACAGGAAAGTTGCTGTGCTCCCTATAAAATTGGTTCAAACTAAGTTGTACAACCCAGGTGTTCTAAAACTGTGAATCTCCATGTGTTGTCCCTTCGTTGGATAAGATGCATTTCGTGGAGAACAATATCTCTCTTCTAAGTGCCTGCCCTGAAGCACTCAGTCAGATAACAGACTCAAATCTCTGGCCTGGGGCTTAATTCCACAATGTTGCCGACTCAGAATTGAGAAGGTTACCACTGAATCACAGCAGACAACTGGAGGCTCCATCGGAACAAATTTGCTTTTCAGTCAGAGTGGAGTTGCTTTTACATGACAGGGAGCGTAAGAAGGTACACAAACATAGTGGATGGGGACCCTCCAAATTGGTCACGTTTGGCTGAAACTCCTGTGGGCATGCAAACAGAGCTTCAGTGTGGAATTCTCAAGCACTGACATGGGGCATTTGCCCTGTCATGGCTCTTCTAGCTCCTTGAACAAGATAGTTTGACATCCTGCACTTTCAGGTGACTCTCCAAATCTTTTCCTTTAAACTATATTTACAGTTCTCTTTTGCAAGCTTTTATTAAAGTTTGCCAGGCTTTCTGGCAGTACATTCACAGGGTAGAGTCATACAGCATGGAAACAGGCCCTTTGGCCCAACTCATCCATGCTGACCAGGTTTCCTAAACTGAACTAGTCCCATTTGCCTGTGTTTGGCCCATATTCCTCTAACCCTTACTTATCCATGTACCCATCCAAATGTCTTTTAAATGTCGTAATTGTACCCCCCTCTATAACTTCCTCTGGCAGCTCATTCTCTACCTGCACCACCCTCTGTGAAAAAGTTGACCCTCAGGCCCCTTTTAAATCTTTCCCCTCTCACCTTAAACCTATGCCCTCTAGTTTTGGACTCCCCTATCATGGGAAAAGACCTTGGCTATTCACCTTATCTATGCCCCTCATGATTTAGTAAACCTCAATAAGGTCACCCCTCAGCCTCCTGCGCTCCAGGGAAAAATGTCCCAGCCTATCCAACCTCTCCTAATAACTCAAACCCTCCAGTCCCAGTAACATCCTTGTCAATCTTGCTTGCACCTTTCCAATTTAATAACATCCTTCCTATAGCAGGGTGACCACAACTGTATGCAGTACTCCAAATGTGGCCTTACCAATGGCTTGTACAGCTATAACATGATGCCCCAACTCCTGTACTCAGTGCTCTGACCAATAAAGGCAAGTGTGCCAAATGCCTTCATCACCAAACTGTCTACCTGTGATGCCACTTTCAAGAAACTATGTACCTGCATTGCTCTGTCTCTCTGTTCGACAACACTCTCCAGGGCCCTACTATTAACTTTAAGCCCTCTCTTGGTTTGTCTTACCAAAATGCAACACCACACATTTATCTGCATTAAACTCCATCTGCCACTGGCCCAGTTGATCAAGATCTCATTATACCCCTAAATAACCTTCTTCACTGTCCACTATACCACCAATTTTGGTGTCATCCACAAATTTTACCAACTATGCCTCCTATATTCACATCCAAACAGTTTGTCTAAATGGCAAACAACAGTGGGCCCAGCACTGATGCTTGCAGCACACCGCTGGTCACAACCTGCAGCCTGAACAACTATTCCAACAGTCTCAGGTACCTCTGTACCCACAGTCACCCCCCCACCTTCTTGGGAGTGAGCCCACAGAAAGTGACTGGCCCAGATGGAGACCCCGGCTGCGCACTCAGATCCTGTGCGGACCAGCTGCCAGGCATATTCACAGATATCTTTAACATCTCCTTTCTACAATCTGAAGTCCCCATCTGCTTCAAGAAGACCACCATCATCACGATGCTAAAGAAAAATCATGCAACGTGCCTCAATGACTGCTGGCTCTGACCTCCATAATTATGAAGTGCTTCGACAGGTTGGTCATGGTTCACATCAACTCCAGCCTACCAAATTGCCTTGATCCTTCGCAATTTGCCTACTGGTGCAACAGGTCCGCAGCAGACATCATTTCCCTGGCCCTACACACATCCCTGGAACATCTGCAACTGGATCCTCAGCTTTCTGACCCATAGGCCACAGTGAGGATAGGTAACTGCTCCTCCTCCACAATAACATTCAACACTGGAGCCTCCCAAGGATGCGTCATCTGCCCCCGACTGTACTCCCTGTACACCTATGACTGTCACCAAACTTTGGACAAACACCATCTGCAAGTTCGCTGACGACACCACTGTCGTGGACGGATATCTAACAACAACGAGTCAAAGTACAGAAGGGAAATAGAGGGTTTGGTGACGTGCTGCAATGAAAACAATCTGTCTCTCAACGTTGGTAAAACTAAAGAACTGATCATCAACTTCAGAAAGAAAGGAGGAGAACACGCCCCCATCTACATCAATGGAACTGAGGTTAAGAGAGTGAGGAGCATCAAGTTCCCTGGACTGACGATAACTGACCACCTGTCCTGGACTTCCCACATAAATGCGACAGTCAGGAAGGCATAACAACAACTCTTCTTCCTCAGGCAGCTCAGGAAATTTGGCATATCCATAAGGTCCCTCACCAATTTCTACAGATGTACCATTGAAAGCATACTGTCCGGGTACATAACGGTCTGGTATGGCAACTGCTCTGCCCAGGACTGTAAGAAATTACAGAAGGTTGTGTGCATGGCCCAGACCATCACGGAAGCGCTGCCGCGGAAAGGCGGCCAACATCATCAAAGATCCTTCACACCCCAGTAATGACCTCCTACAACCTCTTCTGTCCGGCAGAAGGTACAGAAGCCTGAACTCATGCACAAGTAGGCTCAGGAACAACTTCTTTCCAGCCATTATCAGACTGTTGAATGGACTCTAGCCTCAAATAATGTAACCTGTAAGCCTCTAGGTCTTCTTGATCTGTACATCCTTTGCTCGCTGTGATCTGCCTGTACTGCTTGTAAACAAAACATTTCACTGAACTTTGGTACACGTGACAATAAATCAATCAATCTGGATAACAAAGATACCTACATCAGACTCTGATTTATTGGCCACAGGTCCGCCTTCAACTCCGTAATTCCAAACAAACTCATCTCCAAGATGACCTCCAAGACCTTGGTCTCGGCTCCCCCCTCTTTAACTGGATCCCCTACTGCAGTCTATGGATTAGGAAATCAGTAAGAATAGGCGATGACACCACTCCTTTGATAATTGTCAACACCAGTGCCCCACAAGGCTGTGTACTCAGCCCCCTATTATCCTCCTTATACACTCATGACTGTGTGGCCAAATTCCACCCCAACTCCATTTACAAGTTTGCTGATGACACCACCATGTAGGTCGAGTCGCAAATAACAACGAGACAGAATACAGGAAAGAGACTGAGTGCTTAGTGGCACAGTATAAAGACAACAATCTCTCCATCAATGTCAGTAAAACGAAGGAGCTGGTTATTGACTTCAGGAAGCAGAGTAGAGGGGGCATGCCCCTGTCTGTATCAATGGTGCTGAGGTGGAGATGGCCGACAGCGACAAGTTCCTGGGAGTGATGATCACCAACAATCTGTCCTGGTCCACTCCCATTGACGTGATGGTCAAGAAAGGACAATGATGCCTCTACTTCCTCAGGAGGCTAAGGAAATTTGGCATGTCCACAAAAGACACTTGCCAATTTTTGTGCACCCGAGAAAGCATCTTATCTGGATGCATCACAGTGTGGTATGGCAACTGGTCTTCCTGAGATTGCAAGAAACTACTGAGTTGTGAACGCAGCCCAGTCCATCATGAAAACCAGCCTCCCATCCATTAACTCCATCTACACTTCCTGCAGCTTCAGGAAGGCAACCAACATAATCAAAGACCCCTGATTATATTCTCTTCCACCGTGTTCTGTTGGGCAGAAGATATAAAAGTGTGAATACATAGTACAAATAGATTCTTCCCCGCTTTTATCACAGACTTTTGAACGGACCTCTCCAATATCAATGTTGATCTCTCTCTTTCTGCACCTTCTCTGCGGCTGTAACACTGTATCCTGCACTCTGCTCTGCTACCCTGGTGTACTTTATATGTTACAATCTGCCTGTATAGCACACAAAACGGCACCTTTCACTGTATCTCGGTACATGTGACAACAATAAATGAATCAATCAATCCTCTACCACCACAATCTGTCTCCTACCGTCAAGCTAATTTTGTATCCAACGGGCTAGCTCTCCTTGGTTTCCATTAGTAACTGCAGTAACCAGTCTGCCATGCAGAACCTCGTCAAAGGCCTTGCTAAGGTCCATACAGACAACATCTACCACTCTGCCTTCACCTATCTTCTTGGCCACCTCTTCAAAAAACTCAAACAAATTCGTGAGACACAATTTCCCACGTGCAAAGCCATGCTGACTATCCCTTTCCAAAAGCATGCAGATCCTGTCTCTCAGAATCCCCTCCAACAACTTACTCACCACTGACATAATGCTCACCATTCTGTAGTTCCCTGGCTTTTCCTTGTAGCCTTTTTTAAACAATGGCACAACATTAGCCACCCTCCAGTCTTCCGGCATCTCACCCACAGCTGTCGATGATACAAATATCTCCGCTAGGGGTCC